CCCCCAGACGGGGTCTTCGACCGGCTCCGCCCTAGTGACCCTAGTAGTGGCCTGGCTGGCGCTGTAGGCGAGTTCCCCCTGCGCTCATCGTGGGATCCTGGGGGAGCTGCTGCGGTCGAGCCTGCGCCCGTGCTCCTGCAGCTACTGCTCCGTCTCGTCGACGTCGGCCGCCTGCGTGGAGCGCGGTGCCGCGCCGCCCTCGGGGTGCCACGGGGCCATGGTGGCACCGTGCTCGCGGAGCTCCTTCCACTTGTCGGCGCCCAGCGGTGCCGCTCGTTCGCCCACGGGGAGGCCACGCCACGTCTCGCATTTCTGCCGCACCCTCTCTGGGATCCGGAAGGCGGCCACATTGGCCCCCAGCTCAGGGAGGCCCACGGGAGGGTGGTTGAGCCTCTCCTCGAGGAAGCCCGCTGGCAGCCGGCCCGTGAGCCCCCGTCAACGGGGAAGGGGATGGACCCCGTCCGGGGGCACCAGGAAGCGCACCTGCCCTCCGTGCGGGTCCTCCGCAACAACTGGCCGCGCCCCCGACGCGTAGTCCGCGACTGTCGCTCTTCGCAGGGTGTCTGTCATTATTCGGAATATCATCCACTTGCTCCCTCGGCCAGCCCACGCGCACCCTCAGTGCAACGTGCTGGAGTGCTGGGGGGCTGCTGGGCATTGGCGGCACCAGCGGCGGGGGTACCTTCCCCTCGAACCTCGCGCTGGGTGGTCCGACGGGGCTCGACACTCACGGGCCCGGCGGCGTTCGCGGTGACGAGCCGTTCCGGCACGCGGTTCGTCGATGTGGGAGTCCGCCGGCCGCGCTGGCGGGGGCCAGGCAGAAAGCCTCGCCCCTCGTCCCCGCGGTTGTCAGCCTGGGCCGCCTTGGCGGCGTCCCCGCCCACGAGGGGGGCCCCTGACATCGTCCCGACGCCCGCCTTGAAGCAGGTCACCTGACTGCACTTGTCCTTGTACCACGTGGCCTTGTAGCGGTGTGCGCACAGGCATGGGGGAACCAAAAAGTACCGACATTGTTACCCCCTCGGACCTCTCCCGGGATGCGTTCCGACCAGACTTTCGAGGCGAATCCAGCGGTGGAGACGAGGGCATCCCAGGAAGTCCCAAAACAGGAAAAAGAGGGAAGGGTAGCGGTATGTTGAGTCCAGCCAAGTGGTTGAGACGGCGCATGTCTGGAGAATCGCCCACAACGGTCATTAAGACAGAGTTGACGGCCAAATCTTTTCACTAAGACGGAGTTGACGGCTCAAGCGCCAGATAGAGTATTGTATATATGGTCATCCGTCGTGACGTCCAGGCCCACCTCAAAACCTGCCGCCCGCGACAGACTCAAGCGGTATGGGTAATTTCTCTTCCTCCGAAGGCAGGCGCTCGCGTTCGTGCCGCCCCCGGGTGGCGGGCCGTCCGAGGCCCAGCTGTCCTCGCACAGGATGGCGGCCTCGCAACGCCGGTCCTCCAGGTCAACACATCCAGCTGGGATTCCTGGTCCATCACCTGGCTCACAGCACCCCTCCCGCCGTGACTCGGCGGCGCCAGCGTCGGCGACAGAGGCGCGACCCACAGCGCGTATAGCCAGCGCCAGGACGCACCTGAGTCCCCTGCCGACGCATCGCCCGACGATGGCACAGGCCCGACATGGGCCGACTTGCGCGCGCGCTCCGAGGTCGATGGTCGCTTCTGCGTCTACCACGGCGCACTCGGCACAGTGGAAGTCGCCGTCCTTGGCGAGGCACCTTGCTGCATGGTCGAGGTGGAGCGTCGAGGCTCGAGCTCCTCCAGTTGCGATCGGAGCTGGCGGCTGCTGAACCCTGTAACCAGGTCGACTTCCACCCAGGGCCCCTTGCGGTCCACGCGTTTGACCTCGTCGAAATTGGGGCGGAGCCGGGCGACCTGGCCCTCGTGGCGGATCAGGATGTCCATGCACTGGCGCTTGTAGCCTCCGCCTTTGATCCTGGTGCGGTACTACTTCGTCGTCGTGTATGGGCCAAACGCGGGGCCACATTACTAGACGATCGTGGGCTGCGGCGGCGCTGGCGGCAGAAGCTGATCCAGCTCTGCGCCACCCAGTGTTCGCCTGCGGAGGCACAGCCAGTGTTCGCCTGACCGCCAACACGATCCAGTGTTCGCCTGACCGCCAACACGACCCGGCTGCACGGCGCGAAGATGATGGTGCGGAGGCTGTGGGCGGCCGACGCGAAGCTGTCCACTGCTTCGAAAGCCCCGCCGCGGACGCCCTAGGATGTCCAGAGGGTCCGATCGCCCTCTGGTCTCCAGCTCAGGACCCAGACACCTCGGCCCCCGATCCAAGAAGCCTCTTAACGGTCCTGGGAGCGTGCTCTAGCCTGGTTGAGTCCTTCACCAGACGGCCCTGCCTGCGGCACTGACTGCACGTCTGGTGGGCCATCGCCCAGGTCCTGTGGGGGTCCGCTGTTGCCGTCGTCACCGAACTCCACCTGCGGGTCCTCCAGCGACGCGGCCGGGTCGTCGTAGTCGATGCCCTGCGCGTAGGGTTTCTCCGCGTTGGAGCGCGCCCATCGCATGCCCAGGACGCTGCAGACCGCGCTCCTGGGGAGCCCCGCGAGCAGCCACCCATCAGCCATGCGCAGCACCCCGCAGGGGCGGCCGCGCGCGGGCGTCTCGCGGCCAGCGCGAGCAGGGGATGTTCGGCGCTCAGCTGCTGGCCCGCGGCGCAGCCCGCCACGAGTGGGCGTCTCGCCGCTGGCGTGGGCCGGGGCCGTTGGGCGCCCAGCTGCCAGCCAGCGGGGCTCTCCAGCGCCACGCCGCGCCATGGCGCGGCCGCGCGAGTCTTTCGGGCCCCTTCCGGGGTCCAGGCCTTTCTGGCCACCTGAGGCCGGCCCCAAGCTTGGCCCCGAAAAGCCACAAGCCACAGTCGTGGGAGAAGGGGAAGAGGGCAAAGCAAGAGCAGGGGCCACAGGAGAGGGAAGCCCGCGCAGGTCCGGGGGACACTATATCCATACGTTTTAGCAAACAGCCCAGATCGTTATCATTATTATCATTATTATCATTATTACTATTATTATTATTATTATTATTATTATTATTATTATTACTATTATTATTATCACTACTACTATTATTATTATTAATATTATTATTATGATTAATATTATTATTAGTACCATTATTACTATTATTATTATTATTATTATTATTATTATGATTATTATTGTTATTATTATTAGTATTATTATTATCATTATTCGCATCATCGTTATTCTACTTGGCTGTAATGGTAGTAGCATCCTCCTCATCCTCATCCTCCCCATCATCAACATCAGCATCAGCATCATCAGCATCACCATAATCAGCATCGTCATCATCATCAGCATCAGCATCAGCATCAGCATCATCGTCGTCATCGTCATCGTCATCATCAGCATCATCACCATCATCAGCATCAGCATCAGCATCATCATCATCGTCATCGTCATCGTCATTGTCATCGTCATCGTCGTCATCATCATCAACATCATCACCGTCAGCGTCATCGTCATCGTCATCGTCATCATCATTGTCTTTATCATCGACACCTTTATCCTCACGACTCAGGCGTTTGCCCGAGGTGTGGCCACCAGCTCGCATTTGCGGCCCTTGCTGCGCTCGTTTTCTCCCTCTGTTCCACGGTCACTGCTGCACGGCTGGACTGGGCGATCCCACAGCATCTCAGTTGACGGTCAGCGACTGTCAGGCTGCACAGCTACGTGGACTGGATCGTGGTTCGTGTGTGTTCCTTCCCCTTGCTGACGGGCGTGCGTTCAACGGGCTGGCCGTCGCTCTGCTGCAGCACCTGCTTTATGAGAGTTTCAGTGTCTCGCCACCGACCATGGCCACTGGAACTCGCGCGACGAGTCGCACATCAGCTTCGTTATGAGGGCAGCTCCTGTTGGTCCCGATCTTCGCGAAAGTGTTGGTGCCGATTTTTGCGGCGGAGTTGGTGCCGATCTTCGAGGAGTTGTAGGTGTTGATTTCCGTGCAGACGTCCGTGCTGGTCATCCTGTTGGAGGTGCCGGTCCTCATCATAGAGATGGTGTGGGCGATCTTCATGCAGGTGTCGATCCTCGTGGACGCGCTTGGGCGGATCATCGTGGAGAGAATCCGATCATGCTGGTCGAGTTATTGCTGCTCTAGCCGATCCTGGTATTCGGCCTGATGAAGCTGCCGATGTACGTGCAAGTGCTCGTGCAGTGAAGTTCTTCTGCTATGCTTGCTTTTCCTGGAGGTGCCCGCGTTCATCATCGTGACGGCGCCGTTCCTCATGGAGGTACTGGTCCTGGTGATGATCCAGGAGGTACTGGTGCCGATATTCGTGGAGGTACCCGCGCTGGGTATCCCCGTGGAAGTGCCCGCCCTGTTGGGAGTGCCGCTCAACATCGTGAAGGTGCAGATGCCGATCAGCGTGCAGGTGCCGATGTTCGTGAAGATGCTGGTGCTGATCATTGAGGCGGCGGTGGTGTTGATCTTCGTGGAAGCTCTGGTGCTGGAGCTGTGGTTGGTCCTGCTGATGTGGCGCCTCCGCCCCACAAGAAAGCTCGTGGCGATGGCGGTGAGGTAAATTCGGATATCACTGAGGCCCCTGCTTCTCCTAGCCTCGCTGAGGATGGTGCACCCCCGTCTGCGGCATCCTTCAAGTATCTGCCAGAAGGCTCGAGTACGGAGGATATGATCATCAACGTGTTGTTGCACAAATCGAGTCGAGCTTCCAACGTGATGACCTATGTTGGTGTTATTGCTCGATGCTTGGCTGGGCGCGACGATGTTTTCAGCCGGCATGTCCACCGTATTTGCTTGCCTTCGCGATCATGGAAGTCGCTCTACTAGAAAATTGCGCATGCTGCCGCGAGTCAAGACCCAGGCAGTTGCCGCGAGGTGATTTCCTTCGACATGATCTGGACGCTCAAACCAATTCTGGCTGAACACAATTCGCCACCATCATCTTCACCATCATCTTCGTCATCGCCATTATCGGCATCACTATCATCATGGTCACCGTCGTCCTCCCCCTGCTTCTCGGCATCATTTCCCCTCGTCCTCCTGCTCTCCTCCTCGACTCCAGCTCCCCTTCCCCCCTTCCCTCCTCCGTAGCCATTTTGGGCTCGGGCCTGCGGCCAAAAAATGGCCGGCCCGTCTTCCCCCGCCGGGCCCCGCCGAGACGGCGGCGGCGGCCTCCTAGGCGCTCGCCCAGCGGCGCGCGGTGCGCCGGCGTGGCTCCCGGTCGGTATCGCGTTGTGCTGCTGGCGGCCCTGCTGCGGCGCCGACGAGGTCCGCTTCGGGATGCCGCTCGCGAGCTACCCGCCGTACGTGTATTTCGATAACGACACCGCGGAGTGGTCTGGCTTTGCGCGGGCGGTGATATCGGCGATCGCGGCGGAGCTCGACGTGCACGCCGTGCTCGTGCCAGACCCGGCGTTCCCGAACATTTCAGCGCTGTCAGCTGGCATTTTCGACGTCACGATCCTGGAGTTAACTCACCAAGCGGCCTACGATCCGGGCATGGAGCTCTACTACAAAGTAAGCTACCCTTGGTTCAGCGCGACGACCGGGGCCATGGTGCGTCGGACAGAAACTCAATATGGAGGCTGGAAGTTGTTCGAGCCATTCGAGGGGGATCTCTGGATAGCCATCGTGGCGCTGACTTTCGCGGTGTCTGGCGTGCTGGTGATCTTGATGGGCTTGGCAGGGCTGACCGATGGACAGAGGGGCATAGGCTTGACCTCGCACGGCACAGCGAAGGCCGTCTACCACGCCTGGGCGGCGCTGCTTGGAGGGGAGGACTGCGAGTGGCATGACTGGCCTGGGCGCACTCTCCGCCTGGGTGTCCTCTTCGCCGTTCTTGTGCTGAGCAGCACCTATACCGCTAACCTGGCCTCCTTCTTCACGAGGCCTAGCACCAGGGTTCATGGACCCATAGACCGTGCAACGCTGAGAGACGCCACGGCCTGCGTTCTGCCAGATGACCCGCTGCAGGCGTCGGCGGTGAAATCCGAACCCTACCCCCGCCTCCCATCGATTCAGGGCCATCGATGATTTGGTAGGGTTCGGATGTCACCACCTAAGGCGATCGTGCAGCCATACGTCAAGGACATCGTCAGCCCCTCCGCGGGCATGGAGTACCAGGCACAGAGGCAGTGGTGCCACGCCGCCCTGCAGGAGGGGCAGGCGAGCGTCTGGATCGACGACATGGGGTCTCTGAGCGAGTGGCTCCTGAAGCACTGCGACAGCGTGGCGCTCGTAAACACGATTGCCCTCGCGCCTCGGAGGTTGGCGTTCGTCGCGTCCCACGAGAAGCGCTCGATCGTGGCCAACCTCAGCCAGGCGATCATCAAGCTGGAGTCCACCCCAGCCTGGATTGAGCTGCAGCGCGACAGCTTCGGCTGGGGCAGCTCCTGCGGCACGACCATCTCGTCTGCGTCCGACACCACACCAATCACCTTCGAGAGCATGGGCGGGCTTTTCCTCATCACGGGCACGATCACGGTCACGGCCGCCATCGCTGGTTGCGGCGAGGCCGCCAGCAAGGGCTCCCGCAGAAAAATCTGCGTCGAGCAGGAGGCGAGCGAGGAACGGCACGGGCGCACGGACGGCGAGATGTTGCGCACCCTGATTGGCAAGATAGACAGGCTGAGGACCCAGGCAGATCCTGAATCGCGCCGGCGCTGCTCCAGAGGAGACGAAGCCGCATTTGAGGGAGAGAACTCCCGCCCTCCAGGCTACGACATGCCAGAGACCGAGAGCTAGAGAAACTCCGCGTGCATATGTGCACTCCCTTGTCGCCCATACGGTGCCATCTCAGTTGCGCCTCCTTTCCGTTGAGCATTGCCCATTGTATATGACTTGTCCTCTGGGGAGAAGGAGGAGGTAAGACGAGAGGGTTCAGAAGGATAAGCAAAAGGAGGGAAGCAGAGAAAGATCGGAGAGTGGAGGAGGAGAAGGATGCATGTGGAGGAGGAAGGGCATACAGGGAGGATGGGGAGGAACAACAGGGAGGGAAAGGCGGAGGATCAGGAGGTAGAGGAAGTGGAAAAGGGGATGAGGAGGAGGTAGAGGAAAGGCGGAGGATCAGAAGGGATACGGAAAGAGGAGGGAGAAGGAGGAACGCGAAGACGGATAATGCCAGTGGAGACGGAGAATGGCGAGGGAGGAGTATGAAGGAGGAGGAAGAAATACGAGGAGGACAATAGCAGATGGGGGTATTGAGGCAGGGAGGGCGAGGGGGATGGAGGAGGCGAGGAGGATGGAGATAGGAAGGATATATAATGAGGCGGGAAGAACAGGAGGAGGAGGAGGAGGAGGAGGAGGAGCAGCAGCACTAGAAGGTCGGGGAGGGTAGATGAGGGAGGAATGAAGGGGAAATGGTCGGGGGGCGGTAATAATTGATCACAGCGCAACCCTAATTAGGGGTCGCCTTTCCCCCGAAGCAGTTCAGAGCAGCGCAGGGAAGTGCAGTGGCATCGTTTGGCGTTGATTGGCATTGCTTGTCGATGCTTGGCACGTGCTTTGCTTGGCATTGCCTGGCATTGCCTGGCATTGCTTGACATTGGGTTGCATGGTTTGGCATTGCTTGGCGTTGGTGCGCATTGCTTGGCATTGCTGTGCGTTACCTGACATTGCTTGGCATAGCTTCGCATCGCATTGCTTCGCATTGCCTTGGCATTGCATTGCTTTGCATTGTTAGCATTGCCTGGTCTTGCTTGCCGAGCCCAGTTAACCCGATCAGGGAGCCTCGGCGAGGAATCCGGGGAACCCAGGCAAGGACCCCGAGGACCGCCTCCAGGAATCCAGAGGCAAGGAGCTCGAGGAACCCAGCCCTCCCGAGGAACCCGAGGAACCCAAGCAAGGAACCCGAGCAACCTCCGGGAACCCAAGCAAGGAACCCGAGGAACCCGAAGAACTGAAGGCCACTTCCGATGCCTTGTCTGGAGGTCCGAGGGATGCTTCTTGCCATTCCAGGCTTGCTAGCATGCGGAAGGGCTCTGCAGACTCTGCAGGAGTTCTCGACCTCAAGATTGGGTGGACATACCAACCGTTCCGCAACCAGCCGACGTGCAGTATCGAGCTCGCGCTTCTGCCAGGGCGGGCGGTAAAACCTCCGATCTCGTTGCCTTTGTCGTGGGCGTCACAGAGAGGGCCGGAGAAACGCCCAGACAGCTCCTCTCTGCCGTAGGCACCACCTCCTCCGAGGATCGACGGCAGGATGCGCGGGGCGGGCGCGGGGTCAATGGCTCTTCCTCCAGCCCCCCCCGACCCCCCCCCGCACCACGCAGATCATGCTCCTACTCATCCTTCTTCTCCGTGTCCATCCCCTTTCATCCTTATTACTTTGGCTCAAGGCTCCAGTGGCTCAAGCCGCTATCTTTTGCAAACCAACCTCCGATTACATTATCATCCGTTGTGTGTTTTCTCTTGCTCTTGCTTCCTCCAGTGCGAAAGTTGGGAGTCAGTCGTGCCTGCTGGTGCGCCTGGCACGCCCGTGAAGAACGTCTTGAAGCCCCATCATGGCGAAACTTTCGTTGGGAGGCCGGCCGGGCAACACGACATCGCGCCACCTGAGAAGAAGATCGCGAAGCTTTCCGGAGGCAGCCTATTGGACGACATGGACGACGACTCCCTTTTGACCCCGACGGGTGCGTAACATGGACGTGGTACCAGAAGCGCATCTGGATTACAACAGTGTTTTCAACAGCAAATGGATGGCGTCAACTAGCCACCCCTGCTCGAGGTCATCGGCAAGTTGATCAAGACCGAGCTGGACCCGATACTGAGTGATACCGAAGCGATGAAGTTACATGGGGCTTGTCGTCCTGTTTCGATCATGTTACGAATGCCCTGGAAACCGCTATCGGCAGCATTGCACAGGACATCGAGGATATTCAGATACTGGCGTCCAACATGGAGAATGAAAGTAGAGAAACAGATTGGCCAGATTCCCAATGTCACTCCGAGGCCGACTTCGGGAATTTCGCAACGTTCTACATATAATTGTCATTACCATGGTAAGCGAGCGGTTGCGGCTGGCATCAGAAGCTCGTGGTTTCATCCGAGAACAAGTTGCAAGCACGCAGGGGGCCATACCAAACACAATTTACAGCAAGGGCAAGTTCCGAAACATATGATTCGTTCATTTTGGGAGTACCTTCGACAGAGATACGGCCGTGGCACTGTTGAAGAGTGGTGGCATTACGCGCGGTGGGAAGATTGTGTGGTCAGTACCAGACAGACCGCCTGCAGAATGCATTGCTCGCAATTTTGCTCCGGATTGAGGTTTACTCTTAAAGACGTTTTCAAGCTTCTTTACATCATCAAGGTCACAGACGAAGCCCCGTATCAAGTGTGCGTGGGAGGTGAATTGGCGGTCGGCGTGCTTATTACAAGCGCCAACATAGAGAGATAATGGGAAGACAAATGGAGATTTTGGGCCGAGCAGCACAATCATCACATAATTATCGATTTGAATCACAAGTGCGACTCTTTGTTACAGAGGGCGTCATCCGGCATGAAGGGTGGAGCGAAAGGGAAGTCCCAAGGAGTGAGGACTGGACAATAGGATGCACGGCCGGCATCCTGGTCCCTGCCCAGGCTCAGTGCCACAACGCCGCCAATCCTACAATACACATTGAGTGTTCCTCATGTTGGGCACGCGTGTACTCCAATTTCGATGTCGCGCGGTTATGGACGCATGCTGGGCAAAGCTATCACTACGTCTACCACCACTTGCACATCTCCGCCGCCGTATGGCGACGCCGCCTCACCAGGTACATGCGCCACCCGCTACGTTTACCTTGACGACCCCTTCCGTAGACGAGGCCGCGAACGAGGACGCGATGCCAGACTGCAGCGTTAACAAATCGCATGGCGATATGTGTTTCACTGCGCGCGCAGAGGTTCCATTTTGTCGTGCAATGGGCATGAGCAAAGATACCGGGCCACAGCGTCGTTTACATTGTCATTGCTCATATTCTTCTTCATCCAGTATTTCCCCAGTCGCTGCGATCAGACGGGCCACATTGGCGAAGTCCGCCACCCCCGCCCCGCCCTCCCCAGGGGGTGCACCATTGCAGCGCGATGACATTGATGAGCTTCGCCATCGACCACAAAACGAACCTCGGGGTCAACCCGGACGCGTCAGCAAACCTCGCCCTTTGCATCGCATGGGGGCCTGAAATGTTCTAGGCCCCCGGGGCGACTCCGCTGTAGAACTGGGCGGGTTGCCGTCGGCGACGCCGGCGCGAAGCGTCGATCTATCGCGCGCCCGAGAGACTCACTTCAACGGCGCCGGATACTATGCACAAGAAGGGCGCGCTATATTTGTTTGCCTGGGCGCTGCGCTCTGAAAGAAAGGTCGCTCGTCAGAGTTGCGGTCGTCGTTTTCCCGCGGATCCGATCGACAGTTGTTGTTCTCAAGGCGCGCGGCGACCGCATTTCGACGCGTCGGTTGAACGCGCGCGGTGGAACGCTTAATGCTTTGTCCGTCGACGCGCCGCAAAATGGAATTGTCTACGACATCAGACGCTGATTTCACCAGGACCTCCAGATGCACGCGCGCAGCACTACGGAACACTCGACGCAATTTGTTCCGGGCGACTTCAACGCCAGGCTGCTCTAGAGGAACGCTAGGAGGGAAGACGTCATCTCCTCGCGCATGTACGCGACGACGTACGGCGGCGTGAACGATGTGACGCTGAATCGACATCTCGCATTCGAGACGCGCTTCGCGCGCGACTTTTTGATCGCCAACGATTCTTTCCGTCGCCCCAATGAAAAGATAGCATCATGCCGAGGCCGCGGCGTTCATCCGAATTCCATCGGGAGCGCAGTTTCTGCTCATATTCACGACGTACTCTGCCGCGACAGTTGCCCCCCCCCCCCCCCCCCCCCCGCTGTTCTTGATTCCTGGGCGCGCAGGGGGGAACCATTCATTAGCCAAAATCTTGATAGCATTATTGAGACATCCATTCAATTCGAAGCGGGCGCGAGATGCAAGAGGAAGGCGCAGGGCCACGCAGTTCTGAAGCACGCGCATACCAGACATGAATCGCAAGACCGCGACTTGCGCGGACAACGCGAATAGCAGCTAGGATGACGCAGCGGACGACATTGAACAAGCCGCCCATGCAGCCGCGTCGATCATGCCGGAGACGGAGTTTCTACCCGGACGTCCGCGGGCAAGATCACGCGCGCTCGACCGTATTGGGAAGCGAAAGTTTGTCGTTAAGAGTGAGACTACCTCAGCAGCCCGGCGAGCGAGATCGCACAGCTTGGCTGGGAGATGTTGCAGATGTCGGCAGTTAGGGGGCGGCGAAGTATCAGCGCAGACCAAAGCGACCAAGCGCGTAGACTTCAGAAAGCCGGGTGGCACTTTGTCAGGCACGACGGAAGGATCTAACATCATGGCTGACTATTTCGCGGCAGAGCAGTGGGGAAACTTGCCGCCCGAATCTCCAGCCCGGCCGGGATGTTCCGCTCGGGGGGGGGGGGGGGGGGGGTCTTTCCCATCAGCACAGGCAGTTGTTGCATGGATGCTTTGCGGGAGGTTTTGCAGAAATTGAAGCGTGGCAACGCTGCGGGCCCAGACGACAGACCATCATATTGTTGGAAGATCTGCATGTACGATGAAGATGCATGTACGATGCTGGATCGGGAAGTCGATCCCGGAATCCTGGAGGAGAGTCAAAGTAGTCTGCGTAACTCGCCATGCAGATTTCGACATGGACGCAGCATGGGGGGCGCTCTCATGCTCAAGAGGCGCGCGACTGATATTGCATGCAATCTCATCGATGACGGGATAATCTGCACGAACAAGATGGGCACGGAAAGAATGGGTACAATGCTCAACAGCTGTTCCTGTTCATTTTGGACAGGACTCGCTGT